GCTGACGACGACGATGACGGTGACGACATAGACCATCATGAGGATCATGACGGCGATACGTTTTTGACTCCTTGAGCTCCCCCATGTTGTCAGAGTCCAGGCGGACTGCACCGTACTGACGGAGGGGGCGGTGCAGCAGGGGGCAGTACGCTGAAATACTGAAGCAACGATGTTGCAACAAACATGTACCGACAGTACATGATGCCGAGGGTGCATCACACTGCTTGGAAGGTTCCGTGTACAAGTAAGGCCTGGTTTGTCGGTCCGGATGCTGGGGTTTGCTCAACAAATCCGTTCTGGGGGGGCTTACAGCGGGCAACTGGAGGTTCTCGGTGACACAGCTCGACTGTCAAACCTGCTTCTCAGCCTTCTCCACGTCCGGAGACAGTTTGCCCGCTTGCGCCATCTCAAACGTGAAGCCCGGAACCACACGGAAGAGAACCTCATCGCAGAGATATACTTCATGGGTGGAATTGCGGAATTCTGCTCAAGAAACAAGATAAACAAGCGTGACGGTGAGAAATTGCAGAACTCAGACTCCTTGCATCCCTGATCCCCTGAGCTTTGTAAAGCCGGCCCGCATCGTAGTCGTAGCTGCCCGGATGATCGATGTCGCCCGTGGCCGGCGGATAGTTGTAGTCCAAGCGCCTCAATAATCGCCCAGCGAGGTAAGGTGGGCAAAGTAGGCGCACACGAAACCAAACCTAAGACAGGCACAAGCCGCGAATGCTCCCAAAACGGCAGAACTAGGGATTTTGGAATTGGCCTCGTTTGGGACACGACCCAATCAAACCTCCAGCATGAACTATCGACAACTTCAGGCCGATGCTGAAAGTGTGGGTGCTTCAATGACCAGCTCTCAGATCGCTTATCCTGGCGTCGGCATTCCGACTGAAGCACCTGCTGCGGCCACAGGCACAGAACTCCCAGCATTGGCGCCTGCTGCTTTCGCACCTTCTTCATGACCTTGTCCAACTTCTTCCTTAACACCGCTGTAACTTTGCCACAGCTTATACGTGCCAAAAACACCACCACTGCTCAAGTTCACCTCGGTAAAGCTATCACAATCACAGCGAGAGGCTTTTTGTGCAGCGCCCGGGATTTCTTCTCCTCCTTCACCTTGTGCTTGCCTGGGCGGGCCAAGAATGGCTTCGGGAGGCTTCGCTCAGAAAATCAACATAGAAAATCATAGAAATAAACCCTTATCCCTCGAAGGGCAGACGTGACCGACCACACAGTCAGGCTCCTTGCGCAGTTTCAGTACGTCTTCAGGAGTAAAAAGCAGATCCCCTGGCCAAGGATGCATTGAAGTTTAGTCGCCAGTAAATATAGCTACTGCATGTGGTGTCTGTGCGACGCATGTGTGACGTCCCACTCCTGAAACTTGTCGCTCACTAGTGTTGAGGGACCATCGCTCTTCAGTTCACCCTGAATGGTGCACTGTGGCATCTCGGAGAGCGGCTCACCACCAGGGAGAGCTCGTCCTTTGTGAGGTTGAGACCCAGTTCATACTCTTCATGTGTTCCGTCCCACGCCTCTTGCCAGTCCTCGGGTAAAACAAGACCTCCGATGTGGGGAGCAGCCGTAGAAGCAGCAACAGCAGTGGCTGTAGCAGTAGCAGCGGCAGTGGGGCAGGGGGTGTGTGGTGGGTGGCAGTACTGATCTGATAGATAGGAGTAGTAGCGGTGCTAGTAAAGCAGTAGTAAGTAGTCAGTAGGAGCAGCAGCAGCAGCAATACCAGTGCAATCAGGCAGAACTAGCAGCACAAGCACAAGCTGAGGTTGTGGTAGCAGCAGTGAATGCGGCAAGGAGTCGTTGTGCCCAAACCTGGGGTTGTCTTGGTGGGCAGAGATGTAGAAGTCAGCGGCTGTCACTGCATCCTTGGCTCAGGAGCTCTGTTCATCCTCGCTACAACCCCTACTGCTGCTGCTACTGCTGCTGCTGCTGCCGCTACTGCCACTGCCACTGCCACTGCCACTGCTACTGCTCTGCTACTACCGCTGCTGCTACCGCTACTTTTACTGCCGCCACTGCTGCTGCTACAGCTGGTGCTGCTGCTGCTTCTGCTGCGACTGCCAATGCCGCTGCCGCTGCGGCGGCTACAGGGTGAGGGGTGACGGGGTGGGGGGGTGGTGGAGGGGTGGAGGGGTCGAGGGGTGCAGGGGTGGAGGTAGAGGTGGAGGGGTGGAGGGTGGAGGTGGGGTGGACGGGGTGGACGGGTAGAGGGGTGGACGGGTAGAGGGGTGGGGCTTAGTTTTTCAATATACGATTTTAAACAGCACTTTCATATTACCTCTGTGGCTCCGGGGCCTTGGCCGCCCTCCACTTATTCAAAAAAACGTCACAGTAGTCCAACCGATACTACCGTTAGTCCATGCTTAGATTGGCAGCATCCGAAGACATTTCTGAAGATCTGGTTTCGTGATGTGGCATGGCGGACTGCAAGAATTGCTCTGTCCCTGGTCATGGAGGCTCTGGACACTGAGCCGCCGCGGTCGAGACAGCCATTGGCACAGCACATGTGCAATGCCCGAGCGAGCTTTCGGAACTCGCTCGGCGTTTTGCCAAGTGTTGCACGGTCTCAAGCTGAAACTACAGTAAGCAATGAACTGTCTTCTGCCCGCCGTGGTAATCACAATGATATCAATAATAAAGCTCCGCAAGGTAAGCCTTTCCGCGACCTTGGCCCATATCTCGTTTAATCCAGGACCAATCAAGAGAACCCCTGATTCTTGCAACTGAGCAGCCCAAACCGGCAAGCCAGTGTGATAGCGCAGGGCATCTGCGTAGGGCGGCAGTTCCGTGCACTCCTGGGCGTTGGACAGAACAGCGCTGATGAATTGGCATCGAGATGCGGCTCTCGTGCACCACAAGGAGCACAAGGAAAGTCAACACGCAAGGAAGCCGTTCCACGTTTCTGATTCAAGCGCTGCTTGCAGATTTTCCAGCTGCTCGCACACAACGAGGAGCGAAACGTGGGATGACTTTCTGGGCTCCGGCCATGCAACGACAATGGAACCCGAAGTAAGCGCAAAGTAATCCACGCACAACCGACAAACTGAATCTGAAGATCCTCTCTCGAGGCAACATCACCCAGTCCTATGAAGGCACAGAGGAAAAATCAGCACAACACTGATGGAAGTGCCCCAAGTATGATTGGGCTAGCCGGCAGCCAAGGCACCAGAAGGATGGCAGCAATTCTCGGGTGTTGCTTTCTTGTCTCCTTCAGACGCTGTCTCAAAGCTTCTCGCACACCGATTTTTTCGACAACTCGGATCGGGCAGGTCCAGAGAGCCTTTTTGGAGTGAGGAGCTCAGTGATGCTGGGCATAGGATATTGCGTCTGCATGACCGCATGCGGCAACCCTGATCAAAAAAACTAATGTTTCAACTCATTACATGGAGTGCCCAGACACCGTTCGCACGAAAACACGCGTCCATCCAGTCTTCCATTCTTCTGCTACAACTGCAGAGCAAAACGGCAGAGAGGGCTTTTGGAGGTCAACTGGGATAACGGCCATCGCAGGTTTCCTGCACCAACTTCACGATGCCGGGCTGGACGACTTCCAGCGGAACCTGGGAGCTTCCGCAACTTCCCCCACACGTATCACCCAAGACTCAACACTCTGGGCTACAACAGCACCTGGCCGAGAACGAACAACAAAGTGTGAACATGCGGCTGCTGAGAGGGATATGCGGTGCCGTGCTTGGCAGTCTGTCTCCAAAGATTGTCCTTGGGCTGTGGATGCAGCCTGCAGCACTAAACCCATTGCTTCACAGTGGCTTTTCCTCCCAGCGCCACAGCTTCAAAGCCAGGCACCGTCTGGCAGCCCTTGATGAGGAAGCGGTCCTGGCGATGAGTTGAATCCTTCCTTCCTTCCTTCCTTCCTTCCTTCCTTCATGCGCACGTGCATTGATACACGACGGACATCCGTACAGACAGAGACGAGCTTATATAACTCACTCCTCCTAATAAGAAAAGGCCCCTCCTAATGCGAACAACACTTTTTTTCGGTGCAGATTTGGAGAGGCTATTCTTTTCATCTTCCCATTCCTCGGCATATCCTTGCAAAGACAATCAAAGGAGGTCAAGGCATGTCCCCACATGACGGGCCAGATACTTCAAAATGCATGCATCTCGCAACAGGAGGAGCGGACTAGTTTCAGATAGATAGACAGAAATCCCGACAGAAAGCTCACTCCCGCACATTCATGGAACAGTGCTGTCACTAGGGGTAGCAGTAGTGGCTGCACACTCCTCGCCGTTTTGGTTTGTTGGGGGTGGTGTTTTGTTTTCGGGGCGCTGTTGCTTCTTACAGGAGAAGTGTGCCGCCGATATGCTCGCAGTGGCCTTCGTGTTTTGGTTGCCGATGATGAGCTGCTCAGTTTCTCGTAACGGGTTCATCATTGTGCTTGCTTAGCGCAAACAGCGCGGAGCACAGGTCCGCGACTACAAGTCGACGAGCTCTTATGGGGCTTGGTGGCCTACGCTAGGTGTCCTTTCAGCTTCTCACAACTTCTCGGATGAGGCACTCAGGATACTGGAGTCAAAAAAAAGAAAGCTCACTCAGCCAGGCAGACAGGCACTAACTGACTGACTGACTGAATGCATGCCTGCCTGCCTGGCTGAATGAATGCATGCATGGCTGGATGGACGGATGGATGTATGGATGGATGGATGGATGGATGGACGGACGAATGGATGAATGGTGGATGCATGCATAGATGCATGCATGCATAGATGGCTGGCTGGCTGGCTGGCTGGCTGGCTGGCTGGCTGGCTGGCTGGGGGTGGGTGGATGGATGGATGGATGGATGGATGGATGGATGGATGGATGGATGGATGGATGGATGGATGGATGGATGGATGGATGGATGGATGGATGGATGGATGGATGGATGGACGGACCGCGTAACCTGTGTTGAATCTGCAGCCACTCCTCGTCGACATCAAATCCACAGCTGCTGAGCAAAACCTGCTTCTGCGGCTTCAGGTGCTTGTCGTTGGCCTTAGGTTGCCGTTGCAGGCTGCCTGATATTGTGGATGACATGGAATCGCGGAGATGGCAAGTCAGATTTGCTCGACTATGCCAAGGGGCTGTCAGGAGGAGAATTTGATCCGAAGGCTCCAGGGAGGCAGCGATGATGGGGCACTGCCTGGGATAAGCTGCGGGTTGGGAGCAAGAGTCGCAGCAAGTCTCCGGCCTTCTACGATCCGACCTTGGAACAGAAAGAAACTCAGCAGCTTTGAAAAGACGTTCTTGCTTGCAGCTCGGGTAGAGAGGCACCCTCGTTGCTGATGGCAGACTGCCCCACTCCATTCGGTCAGGCGGCACCATGGAGGACATGAAGATCGGCTTGGCGGCAATCTTCCTCCAGGGCCATTTCAGTCCCTCGCTGTGATCTTAAACTTGCAAGACTGGGCGGACAACAACCACTGCCATCACCTAACTTTCTTCAGAATCTGCAAAAGATTAAGACTGCACTCCAAACAAACACTCAACTCGGCGAAATGGTGCTGTGGACCGTGGAGTTTTGCAGCATCGGCTGCTTGTGAAACGCTCTCCTTGCGATCACGTGGAAGGCCATCATGAAGCCGCAGTCGCCAGTGATGGCCGCGCATCCTCGAGCCTTTCCAATGATGCTGGTGGGAGGGAAAGGGCTGGAGAAGGGATACAGATCCTCCAGGCAACTAGAAACCTTGTGCCACCTCGGGGGCTCTCTAAGTGCAGATCTGGACTGAGACAATCACAAGACGGTCCGATCATGAATGGAGCATTTGCTGAGTGAATGCAGGAGAAGTAAAATGACTCCCAGGCAGGGCCGCGACAGGACCTGATATGCGAAATGCCTTGCACCGGTGCAGCAGCAACGCTTCATGTTTCTGATTGAAGATCCTTCGCTTCTTCGGATGCCCAACTCGCCGCCTCCAGATGCTTGATCGCATCGGCAAAGCGGCGCTCCACCGCTTCGGGGAAGTGACCCTCCTGCCAACGGATCCGGCTTTCAGCAGCTGTAAGGCCGTCCAGCGGCGACGGGTGAGGCCGGTGAGGCACAGGTGTGCCCCGTGTGCCCCGGGCCTGGCACATCTCGAAGGTCAACCCTGGGCAGCAGCGATAGTAAACCTCGTAGCCGAAGCTGCCTGGCAACAACGCGCTGCCAAAAGTCGCTAGGCGGGAGCATCACGTCTTGCTGAAGCTAGTGCACTGTCCTCCATTGGGCTTAAACTTTTCGCATCTTTTCGCACCTGGGTGGTCGGAGTCTCCGGGCGCTGGCGGATAGTCGTAGTCCAGGCGGACCACGCCCAGGGCTGGATGCCTGAGACTTCAAGGGCCTAAGGGGCACTGCTGCGGCATTGGATTCGAAGTCCTTGTCGAATCGCTTCAAAGACACAAGCGGGTCTTTTAGTGATCAAACCTGCTGCAGTATCCGACTAGTACCCTCGTATTTCCCCTACATCTGTTGCATCTCCTGGCCCTGCTGCTGCTGGGGCACTTGGACTTATTCTTTTTCGCTTGTCCAGGGTCGCCGCCGGCGCCGCCTGCACCACCCTTCCTGGGTCAGCAGACGATGGGCTGTCCAGTATCCTGTGACTTTGGCAGCGCCTTCCCTTGCCTGGACATCCGGCGACCACCACTTACACTTTTGCATCTGAGCAGCGGTCAATTCATTCACGGTAGTGGCCGCGTGTATTTAGCATGGGGTTGTAGCGATGATGCGGGACATTTATGAGCCTATAAGTCGTAAGTCTCGCTTGGGAATGAGGCTATCGGTTGAGGGTCGGCCGCAATCAGCTTTAATGGACTTCGTCAGATCTGTCCCATCTAGCCATAGCAACCTCTTGCAATACTCGCCTGTACAGGTTGTGAGCCTGACCACAAACTCCACAGCAGCCGCGGATCTTCAAACTCTCGAGGAGCTCCTGGTGTGCTCTCATCAACTCCACCTTGGATTCCGAACTCTCGGGTCCAGAGTTGGGAGTTGGGGGTTTGATCTTCAGCTCAGCTTGAAGCGATGGACGCAGAGAAGAGTACACACACACTCTTGGAGACCATCTATCCTGCTTGAATGGATGTTTGCGATAGATTTTTACCTCTCTCGAAACATGCACAGCTTCACAGAGACAGAGAGGGCGGGTTTTCGACTTGAAATGGGCGAGACCAGCATCGCAGCTTGAACTGTCTGACTCCTTTCGCTGCCACTTGCCACTACTGCACTGGCAATCGGAGATTATCGTAGGTCGTCGTAGGGTACCCAGGGTGTGGTAGACGCTATGTAACTACTTCGGCCTGTAGCTCACATCCAAGCTGAAGGTTCAGCGAGGCTGAGCCACATGATGCTTCGTGAGGTCACTGTGCCGCTGCAGGAGGTCGTTGTGCTTTTGCTGCGACTCCTAGCTCACCACACAGATTGCAGGCCTTCTTCGGCTCAGCTAGCAAACATCCGAGTTCACAGTTCCAAGGCCAGTCCTGCAGGCTCTTGACGATGTCCTTGTACGCCTGCCTAGAAGTAACTGTGACAAGACAAGCCATGCGAACTGTCTGGACAGCAGGAGGCGTTTGGATTTCTGCGGACCCTGGTAAAACCCTGCCAGTTGCCTATGTATGGTAGAGTGTATGCCAACTGAAAAAGGTTTTGGTTGCTGGTTGATCCTAGTATGGACAATCTCTTTCTCCGGACATCGACTCTGGAAACTTTCAGGTGGAGAAGCAGCATGGATCGACAGTGTATTACGGCTAGGCGATGGCCGGCGTCTATAAAGGGCGTCTACGGAGATTGCAAGATTGCTAGGCCACACGGTCAAGCAGAGCACTCTGACCTTGAGCAAGCTGTAAAGCTTTAAATACGCTGCATCCGCGCCATCGGCTCATCAGTCTGGCTGAGGTTGCTATCGCAGTGCAGGCGGCTCACACGTCAAGCCAAGACTCATGATTTCACCGTGGTTCTTCGTCTCGATGTTCGCCAATGAGGGCGCTGGCCCAGTCGGCCTCCGCATGGCAACAGCATTTTGCAGATTTCGATGCTCAAGACAAGCCGCCGGGCGCGCCAGCTGCTTCTTGCGCAGAGCCGCCGTAGAGCTACCGGTTTCGTCCGATCTAAGGACATGTTGTCAACCTGCATCTCGGCCACACTACATGCCGCAAGCTGCAGTACCCTGGTTTAGTGATGACTGCCGTTTTGCTGTTCAAAACCACCTTTCGTTTGCAGCTACGACAGATTTGTGCTTGGACTCTGTGTCCAAATTGCAAGCCTTAGCGGACGAAACTGGCTCCATTACATACCTTCACTAGGACTTACTAGGTGGGACCTGGGAACCTGAGCAATACCGAGCCAACAGCCTCCTGGTAGGCGTTTCGGAAGACAAGCGGTCTCCATAGCTGGTGGCCTTCCCCACAGCTCACATCCTTGCACCGGAAGCATGTACGACTAGCCGAGAAGCCCCCCGCCGAAACTGCAAAGCAGTGAGATCTCCGAGCAAAACTGAAGCCTCAACCATGGCTGTCATATTACATTAGTAACCTGCTCCGCAACGAAAACACGAGAGCCCTTGCCTCTCCAACTCTCCCAAAATCAGGTCGGGCCGCTCATGTGGCATAGCATACATCGGTGGACCCGATGGCATCATCGGAGACAGAGCCTGAAGCGGGCGAAGTTTCACTCTCTGAGGCCTCGCAGTTCTTGCCGCAAGCTCTCACTGCTGGAGTTCTTGCCAACAGCTTCAAGACGAGCACCGGTCTGATGACTGGTGCTTGTAGCTTCTTGCATAAGTTCAGGATGTTCAGGTCGGATTACTGCGCAAATCGTCGCTGCGAGGTCTCCCATCCAACAAATGCACAACATGTCAACGCGGATTTGTCCGATCAATGGAAGCACATTCTGCGAAATACACGCTCGAAGAGGACATCACCAAGAAAGACTCACGTTGAAATTCTCTCCCGTGGCCTGCTGTGGTTGTGTGAAAGTCATCGGCACTGCCGTCATGCCGCCAGTCATGCCCATTTGCCTGCAAACATTGAGCCAAAGTCTCTTACCACGTGCTGTGCCGCGATCACAGACATCTGCGTGTAACGGAACTTGTGAAGCCGCTAGGCCTGCTGCCCTTCAGTCGCTGAAGCTCCATTTCCAGCATGTCCAGGCGGCTGTCGAGCGGGTTTGAGAAACCAGGCCTGATGCTCGAAACTCAGAGTCAGAGTGGAGCTGGCACCCAGGAAATTGCAATTTTCTGGAGAGGAAACGGGCTTCATGGCAGCCCACGTTTTCGTACAGATGGTGCCAGATTCAGGGTATTTAGGGTCTCATTAATAGGGGGTAGATGGAGGGTTAAGGATGATTCATGTAAACGTGCACATGTGCCCGCACATTGGCATACATACAAAGGACACATAGTACATGCAGGTATACGAGGTGATAGCAAGGATTAGCGGATTAGGACTCATCTTTCAATCAACGACCGAATGACTAGCTCCACACTTTGAAGCCAAGCCGCATCATGGTCCCTTGAGGGCTCGATGATGGGTCCACAGCCCCGCTTGCTCAGCTTTGGCCACTTGGATTGAGAAACGCTGCAGCGCGGGCACGGTTTCAGGGCCTCGTGAAGTAGAGATGGATGGGTAGTGCCAACTGCCGGTCTCAAAGTCATGCATAATTAAGATCTCTTCACTACGGCAAATGTTCCAAGTGTTTCGACTTATATAGTGGCTTAGCACTTAGCGTGGTAAAAAGCCAAAGCTGCATGAGCCCAGCGCCCCCTCGAGCCCGGCTCCCCCGTCCCTGGCACTGAAGGGAAGTCCTTCGAAGTGCCCGACTGGCCGACATGCCCGAACCGCCTGCTGGCTCCCTGGCCTTGGATGGAATCAAGCTCAGCTCAGCAGGCATTGCTCGAACCTGCATCGGCCTCTCTGCCCTTCTGCCCTGCCATCCCAAGAGGAGCTGCGACCAGAAGCCTACAGAGTCAAGCCCGATGCTACTCTCTCTGTCGAGTTGAAGCGACCCCACCCGCCGACCTCCTGCAACTCCTTTCGGCGCGCCGCCTTGCACTGAAACCGGGCTTGGCTTGTCTCTGAGTGCGGCAGGTGACTGCCACGAGTAGAGTTCTGGTGTGGTTTGTAGCGGGCTGGCATTTGCGAACCACTGCGACAGCTACGACAAGAGACACCGGGAAGTGCGAGTCATCGTCCGTTGTTTGTCCAACGTAAAGTAAGACATCGCGTCCTGACTGAACATCTCAAACAAAGCCTTGGGCATGAAAGACTCAATCACATGGTCTTCAGGGGACGCCAACCGTCAGCGTCGATGGAATCAGAGTCTGGATTGGCAACGTGGGAGAACCGACATGTTTTTCTGGAACAAGCCAGCTCAAAATCTTCTGGATCAAGTGCTGCATGGCCGCAGGTACCGAATCTACTCAATCACTGCCCTTCATGCACACATGCTATCGAATTACGAAGCTGGTACGTACTGCTAAAGTTTGCAAACATCCCTGGAAAGTCATATCCCTGGGTTCGGAGGGCAGCTAGGACCTAGGCAGGCCATGTTCCTCTCCGTCAGATTCGATGTGCTGGTGCCTCTTCCGCCTCTCGTTGGTGCTCCTGGCCATCGACTGGCTGCTGGGTGTGCGATGTTCCCTGCGCTGAAGCGACAGTCGAAGACTTGCGTTAGACCCGCGAACAATAATCCTTTTCACTTTGGCAATGTGGCACGGACGGGGGAGTATCAGCTCTTAGACCACTATCTCTGAACTGTATATGTAAGAGGATCAGTACTGTAAAACAAGCGAAATCATAGGAGTAGACTACCAGCTCAACTCAAGGCCTCCTCAGCTCTTCTGCGCTCCTCTTCCTGCCGCCGGGCCTTGTGACAGCTTCTGTAGAGTTGGCGGGGCTTGGGAGGAGGGCTTCGATGTTGCACCTCTTCCCCCTCAACTGAGTTCGGCTCAACGCCCCGGAACCCTCAATCCGGCTTCCGGCTTTTAAGGACTTTGCATAGAAGGTTTCACAGATTCAAGGAAGAATCAGGGTTTGGTCAAGAAGAGATGTCAGACCAGCTTGCATACCTTCGCCCATATCTCGTTCAAGAGAGCTCTCGTGTACCCCCGGCATCGAGACGGCAGGCTGCTTTCTGCAAATATAGAATCTGCCGGCTCTGAGGAAGTGAAGACTGCTGTGCTGGTGTGAAGACAGGCAGCAAAAGCAGCAAACCGCCCCGACCCGACCTCCTCGTCTTTCTGCTTCTTGGCCTTGATCCTCTCCTCCACTAAACAGCAGAAGCAAACATGCACTGTCAGCTCTTTCAACGCAAGCTGTTGCACACCGCACCTTTCAAGGTTGCTGCTTTACGAAGGTCACTCACACATTCCTTCCCAGACACTCCCCGGGTGCGCGCTTCTACGAGGGGGGAGGCCTGCTGCGCAGGCCTTGCTGGATGGTGTCAAGGTGTGGAGTGCAAGGTCGGACAAAAGACTGAAAGGTCAGACCAAAGAGTCACAAGAAAAGACACTAAAAGACACGCTAAGGGTTGAACAAGAGATTCTGGCACAGGCTAAAAACGGGATCACAAGGTCAAGGACAAGATGTTCACTGCGGCAGCGTCCAGGTTGTAGACGAAAACAAAGAGAGGCGGCCTCTGCAGCCTTGATGAACCCACATGAGCACGCGAGGTGAAAACCCCAGAACAGCTGACAGCGGTCCTCCTCTGCTCGCTCGAAGGCCCGGCCTCGCTTGGACTACGACCCTTGCCGCAGAAGCTCCACGCCGACTTCCCGTCGCGAGTTCGGTCTCAAGGCACAGAGCTTTCGCTGGGGGCTCCAGGCGCTGTTCCTCCAGGCGTCGGAGTTCTTCTTGTCGCTGCCGCCTCAGGCCCGACAAAGCTAAGCAAATGCGAGGAAGAAGCTCAAGCACCATAAGGAGTCGGGTAGGGTTCATGTTACATACTATTGTCACCTACCGACCTAAGCTTTGAGCAGAAGGTGCGTGAAACTCCCGGATTTCCAACCCTCGAACCCTTAACAGACTGTAGAGTGGCAAGCTGCAAAGCATGATCGTTTTGTATCTCGCCCGTAGCACGTCTCACACACTTGGTTTTGACAACTTTGAAACCGTGCATGTGTCACCCTGCTTCGACCAAGTCATCCATGCAGCAGAATTGCATGTCAGGCGAGTCCTCCATCAACACAACCCACCGCGGCACCCGAAATTGCAACTCAAACCAAATCTCGGCCACGGCACGTTCGCTCCGCCTCCGCCCTCTTCTCGACTTCCTTGCGCTGCCTGCACGTGCCAGAGGGAAGGTTCGGAAGGGAAATCAAAGTCTGCGCTGTAAGCCGTGACCATATCAGCTCACCGCAGGCTACTGCAGCAACCTGCTGGAGGCACCCAACTGATGACGATACACCTGCTGTGACTGGTCCCTGTGTCTTGAAGTGAATTTGACTGCGAATGTGGATCCATGATGATCCATGGGTGGAAGCTTCACTACTATAGGACGATTCCATCGCGTCTTTACTTTGGCTCAAGACAGGGGGCCCAGGCCCAAAAGGCGCCTTTCTTCTTCCAGGCGGCGATTCTCTTCTTCGAGCTGGCGCCTGCGCTCCTGCGCGGGGTAGGCACGCAGGTCCCGGTGGGGATGTGGCCTCCGTGGCTCCTCTTGCCTCTTCCTAAACAGTTTTGGCAAAGCTATTTTATGCTGTTTCCTCACACTAGGTGCAAACGAAGGCTGCAGTTCAGTGGCCGACTTGCAGTGCAACCTCATGCAGAGTAAAAGAGATGTTCCAATTCACAGGACGCCATTCGATTACAATGTCGGCCCAACTGCGGCTGTCAAGGGTCTACGATCAGCACACACTGACGATCATGGCAAGCATCATGCCGTGCCAAAGGAGCCGCGGAACCCACGCCGCAAAACCCGACGGCTGCAAGTTCACCGAAATTCCGAGGGACTGAGCGCCGCCAAATTCATCCATTCAGGCGCTTGCTTGCCATTCCGCTTCACAAGCTCACCAACCCAGAAAATGCTAAGTATCTTGACGCAGGCTCCGCTGTGGCACCTCCGATTTAAAAGGCGGCGAATCCTCACAAGCTTGGAGGATTTAATGCCTTCAATCCAATGGCCTCAATTCTGCAGATAATTAGTGCTTGTAGGGTAGAACATCATCTAAGCTTGTTTTGGAACTGCAGCAGAGAGTGAGCTTACACTCTGCGACAGTAGTCATGCTTCGGAAACGCCATGGACAAAGAACGCTGAGGATGTCTCGGATGAGGACATGCATTCTTCGGTGGATAGCACTGTGCGAGGATCTTGTTTTTTTCTCAGATTCTCCTGCGGAGACATCCCCATCGCTATGGGCCTTTGTACAAGTAGACCACCACGCTCTCTGCATGTCGACAACTACGGATTGAAGACTCATCAGGATGAATCTCAGACGTGGCTAAACATGTTGCCCCATGTAACCTCAAGCAGGTTCATCCCGCACGCTGAAACCTCTAAGAGTTCCAACAAAACCCTCAACAGATGGGTGAATACCAATTTGTGTATGCCGTATTTGCATACATACGTATATCCATGTCTACATATACACATGTCTGTATACGAACATAGATAGTGAGATATAGAGATAGACAGATAGAGACATAGAGAGATAGATAGATAGACAGATAGACAGACAGACAGATAGACAGATGGATAGAAAGATAGATAGAGATCGATAGATCGACAGATAGACCGATAGATCGATAGATAGATCGATCGATAGATTGATCGGTAGGTAGATAAATAAGATAATGTTAGATTAGATCAGATCAGGTCAGATTAGATTAGATTGATAGATGGATAGATGGATAGATAGATAAATAGATAGATAGGTAGATAGGTAGATAGGTAGATAGGTAGATAGATAGATTGATAGATTGATAGCTAAGATCTCTCTCGATCGATAGATCGATCGAGAGATAGAAAGACAGACGGATAGATAGATAGGTGATAGAGAGATACAGAGAGAGAGCGAGAGACAGAGCGACAGAGAGATACGGAGAGGAATGCGCACACCCTGCACCTACACATGCATGCAACACTTGTAAGCCTTCCGTCACACCCAAGCCGTCTTCGCAAAGGCAGCTACGTGTCTACGTGTCATCACAATGGCATTCCGTGCAGTTGCACTAGTGGGCGAATGTAGTTCGACCTCGGCTGATGAACACCTTGGTGTGCTCACCTCCATCCTCACTCACCATTTTTCCAAGCATGGGGTCGTAGACACCTGGCACGATCGATCATAGCTGCCCCACATACAGACACACACATACACACGCGCGCGCACACCCATTCCCCGTGCACAAACATATGTATTTCCGAATACATATGTTTCTGTATTGTTGAATATACATAACAAACAAAGAAACAAACAAACAAACAAACAAACAAACAAACAAACAAGTACGTAAGTAAATATGTACTCATATGTGTATGTATGTGTATATATATACAAATAATTAAAAGTATGTGTATTCTGGATACATGATTGACCCCTTCGCTGATCTCGCTTTCAGCCCCGTGACATGCGCATAATGTCTGGCAAGCCAGGCTTCTGAGTCGCTAATTTACATCATGCTACACTCTGCGGCATCTACTACAAGTATCTGCAGTATGCTGAAGTGTGTTGGTTTCCCCGTTTTGGATCGTTTGATCTGCCACGAACCTTCTTTCTGCGCTATTCTGCTACAGGAGATTGTGGGTATCAAAGAAAGCAAAGAGCACAATGCTTTTGCTGCCCCTAGTAAGCACGTGGCATGATGTATAATGAGCGTCCACCGAGTATACACACCGTGCCATGCGCGTGATTTTGCGCTCTACCTACCACGTTTGGTGACTGCTACCAGTCTACCATAACAGAATGTAAGTGCAGGGTGCAAAGGATCTGGGACATGATGGAAAGGACCAAACCTAGGCTTCTGATTCCGAGATGGCGCAAGCGAACACATCACAAATATTAGGTGTATGTATATATATATATATATATACCTATGTGTATATAAATATATGTAGATGTATATATTAACAGATGAAAATATACATAGGTGTATATATACATACATGTATATATATATATATATGTATATATATGCGCGTGTGCGTGGACTCCTTATTTACCTAGATTTATTAGGCAGATGTACAGACACAGACGCGTCCCTCCCTAGTCACTTGAGGACGTCTGGGAGTACGGGCTGGGACTTTCAGAGACAAGTGCCAGTATCTACTCGGAAAGGAGCCGGAGCCCGCCGCTTGTGCAAATGCCAGTTGTCCACCGTCCGCCACACTTCTTGCGACCAAGACTCTGCCGCGGAGAGCTTCCTTCAGAAAAGAGTTTTTTGAGACCCTGATGGTTCTTGACTGGCACGTGGTCGGCATGAAGCATTCACAAACGTGGAGGTGCCCTCACGCGAGCCATTGCGCATGGTCATCCAAAACCGCCCCATGCGGTCGAGCAAATTCCGATGTCGAGGCTGAACTGGTGCAGCGCATGCCACTTGCAGAGGTAACTCTTCGCCTTTACTCCCCGCCCGGGCCTAAAGAAATCCCGTGCCTTTCCGAATCGGAGCCGGCCATCCAGATCTTGGCCACGACGGCCGAACGCACCGGCCGCAGGAGGAGCACCTGTTGCTCTTGCGACTGCACTTACCTGTCAACTTCCGACATGCTGCTAAGATAGACTACAAACAAAAGCAGCTGCACAGAGAGAGCTCAGGCAAATGTAGCCTGGAACAAGGAGTTTCTGCTGCAGCTGCTCGCGCCGAAGATCCACAAAGCGCTCCGCGTACTTGTCCTGCCGAGGCGTCTGCGACAGGTCCCGCAGAAGATCCAGGCCTCACCCGGCCCGCTGCATCACTTGGATTGTAGACGGCCAACGGCCAATTTAGCCGTTGTGTTGGAGGCGGTGACGCGAGTCCAGGATTATATATTTTGGTGATCGAGTTCCACGGGTCGAGTCAAGCCCACTTGCTTTGAAGCGTCACTCACCAGAGCAGGCTCCTTCCAAGGAAGCCTTTGGCGGGGAAGCGGACTCTGAGCCGGGTCCGCACAAACGGCGCGGCAAGCGGCGGCGGCGGGCCTCGCCCGCACCAGGTCGGCCTGTGAAGGCTTTCAGGGACACGAACATGAATACGGCCTTTTGCTTCCTGGCCTCACCGGGTCTTTCCAGGGCACAGCGTGAACCGCATCGGCCGAAGTTACTGTGATAGAGGATGCTCCACAGCACCTGAAGCGACAGGCATGAAACAAGAAACATGACTGATGAGGTTTTCACACAATTCACAGCCCTTCCGACACGATCGTCGCAGCACCGCTCACAAACTTACCAATAAATCCGGTCCCGTCGCACGATTCGGCTTAGAGGGTGTCCAGTGCAGTGTGGCCAGAATCGGCCAGCACTTGAAGTGCCAGCAGTAACACCCCAGTCTGGCGCAACGCCCATCTTAGAGGATCCCGCCTGGCCCTGTCGCTCAGCGGCCGCGCGCGAAGCGCGCTCCACTCGGCTGTAGGCGCAGAGCTCCGGGCCTGGTGCAATAACATCGCCCGGCGGATCTTCTTGCGGAGCTGTGCAGCACCGGAGGACGCGACACCTTTGCTCAGGTTCGAGGTCCCGGCCATCACTGGCAAAGGTACAGAGAAGCTCCCAGAGCTCCGATCCTGCTAGCACAGAATCCAGGGCAGGGATGGTGGAAACCTTTCAATGTTCGGGGCTTGAGACTTGGGCCTTGGGGACATCCGCGTGGGAGAGACATGTGTTGACCAGTAGCCAGGACAGACCAGAATGCCCTCGTTTCTCCATCCTGCCGTTCATCGGACCGCACAACCGAACGCCCCAACACTTCCAAATTTCCAACAAGGATCATGGAAAGATCCTGCCACACATCATGACATCAACCCATTCCCACCCCGCCGCCGCCTAGGGGGCACGGCACACAGCGGCGTCGGAGCTCCTCCGCCTGCTTTGGCTTGTGGTGACTCTGCGCGAGGATTGAGGAGGGAGTCAAGACCTCGTGAGCAAAATCGAACTCCCCGTAATTGAAACTAACGGTTCAAACAAAAGCCTTCTGACCTCAGAGTAGTGATCTATACAGCAGAGTGTTGACGAGGATATGTACAATACCCGTTCGAAGAACCGCGCGTCTATGCAGTCTATCCACAAAGCCACACAATGCCTCCACGTTCGTTTCCACGGCACCTTGATGCCAAGCGAAATGCTGCAGTTCGTCCAACATGCTCTGGGATTCAAGTTGAGACTCATGATGAGCTATATACAGTTGCTTGGACCAGCGAGTGTCCACAGTGCTGTCATGCACTGCTCTTGCAGTGTACTCTTGCCACCTCTGAATCAATCCCAAATCAAAGACTATACATTCGATGCTGAGGGCAGTACCGGTGTCGACGTAAACAATGTCGTACAAGCCACCAGGTCGAACAGCCTGGCCACGCTGTCAGAGGGGAGACAACTGCCGCAGTTTCTCATCTTGCGGGTCTCCCAGTCATGAGTTGACATCGACCATCTAAATTCCAATTTCAGGGGATGGTCGATGGGCATGTGGCCTGGACGACGGCCCCAATCCACATGTCGGCGAAATCGTCAACGAGACGGTCCTCGTTTCAGCTGAAGTGTCTCGGAAACGAACCGGTTGCAAGATGTTGCAAGCATGATTATTTTACTTCGAATATCCCCACCCTACAGCTAATGCATTTGGGGCCACACCACCGACTGGCGATACGGACGTGGGGCCCCGGGTTGGGCACTCAAGAAAAAGCACCGTAGTAAATGAAATTGGGCACTCCAGCGACTGTCACGCACGGTAGTATGTGATGTGGGCACTCCACTCCAGGGGTTCTCACGGTAGTCTCTGGGGGGCTGGGGTTGGGCACTTTAGGGAGGCTCGCGGTAGTCTGTGGGGTTGCACGGTAGTCTGTGGGGGTGGGCACTCCAGGCAGTCACTGGAGGTAGTCTTAGCGGGCTAGGAGTGGACCAGGAGCGGGCGGGAGTCATAGCTGACTTTTAAAATCTAACCGAGGGTGTGGAATAAGATAAACTCTCTGCTCACAAGACATGAAAGCGTCTCCATGCTCGCACGAATCTGGTCAAGTAGCAACCTGCTCGCCCACATGCCATCTGCCGTTCGGCTGCGAAAGCTCCTGATCTCGGAGCTCATGCAGAGGAGAGCTGCGGATCTGCATCTCATGATCTCTTACAGCAAGAATTAACATCAGGCTCTCAAAAAAAACACGTCAGCATGTCAGCAACTGGACTGGCCTGCTCTACAGGTTTTCAATCCTGATCGCTGGTCCTGGAGGCGGTCGTCGGAGCCAGCGCTTTCCTGAAGGTCATGAAAGCCTTCAAGCTAGTCTCTCCTCTGGCCTCGAAGTGCTTTTCAGATTATTCAGAACCAGCGACATGTCCAGTCCCTCTGCACTGACGTCGACAAATCAGGACGGAATGTACATGCCGGGTTCCTCCACTGGCCGACGGCACATGTTCCATTTTTTGACGCACTGGCCTGCGCCCACTCGAGTGCCAATGGAAGTCGATGGCAATGGCTCTGCAACTGCGTAAAGAAAGTATGCGGCACCTCGGCAGGTGAGGATTCACGATGCAGCGGCCCTTGTTTGGAACAACTTGGTGCGAATCAGCTGAGCTTGGGGCCCAAACGGGCAGCGCCTGCTGCACCAACTTTGCCAGAACACGAGCCTCCGCGTGCCATGAGCGCATATTAATATGAGCGCCGGGCTTAGGGGCTTAGGAGTGGCAGGAATTGCATATTGCATTTCTGGAGAGCTCATCCGAGTTCATGCTGGGCGGTTCGACGCGCGGCCTGAAGGCTCGTGGAAACCTGCAAACATTTGTAATTGTAAGAATGAGCTGAGTTCTGAGTAAGACCGTAAAGTATCTAAACTTGCGGCATGATACAAAAAAAGACCACATGAAAACACGCTTGTCACCCCCACCGGCGAAGCATTCAGATCGCAGTCCGAACCATGAAACGCACCAACTGTCGTCATCTCTGAAAAACCACTCGCATGCCTCATTGCTTGCAGCAATCAACTCTTCAGACTGTCGTGGTCAACATCTCTTCCATTCGTCGGCACAAAGCTTGCTGACGCGACCTTCGGAAGATCCCCCTTGTTGAGGGTCCTCAGCAGCTTCAGCACTTCCTGTCCGAACGTGGCTCTACTTTGAAAGCTTATCAGGAGTAGACACGTGCGCCCAGAACGAAATGAGGTCGACGCTCGTACGACGCACCCCTGCCTCTGATAGTCTGGAGCAAGCTAGCTAGCAAGATAACAGTTTTAACAAGCAATAAGTACAGTAGCATGCATCTCTAGGCTGCGAAGTGTGCCTCGAGTTGCCCAGGCTGGCGCCGTGGACGGCCGGTCAGCACCAACTTCCAGTCCATGGCCGCACGGCCAAGTCGTGGCTTGGTGTCTCGTTTAGGAGGGTGTGTGGGTTCCGTCTTATCAGATGTACAACAGGTGAATGCCCCCAATGACAAGCCATGAAGTCCAGTCGCTACAGAACATCGCACATCGCACGGCATATTTGGTGGGCTTTTGTAGGGAGCAGGATTTGATTGATTGTATATGCCACGCCCCTACTGAACGTCGCATGTCTTGGCTTTGCTTCCCATGTGCATCACGTGGGCAGAAGGGACCATGGCAAAAGCCAACGAAGACAAGCAAGCATGCATTTAAGAGACAAGGAACAGAGAGAGAGAGAGAGACAAACAAACGACCAACCCGACGGACAGACGGACAGACACAGGCAATTCCAGCTTGACTTCGAATAATGTGTGACCCTCACACTACTCAGCAATCTCACTTGCCCATCGGCCGAACCTCTGAGACTCCCCGCCCGTCCTCCACCTCCCTTTGCTGCTGTTGCTCCATCCGCAGAGCCTCCTTCGGACTCACGAACAGACCGGTGCTTGTAACACAGCTGCACAATTAGTTGCTCAACAAAACACCGGTTCCGTGCTGGCTGGCATTCGGCAAGCCACTTGCCACGAGAAGAGTCAGCTCCTAAGATACTTGACCTCAAGGTCGAATGAAAACGCCTGTCCAAGAACCGAAAACGGGCGACGCTTTGCCACTGCTTCCCTGCTTCTCCTCTTCGGCTTGCCGCACTTCTTCCTCCAGCCTGCAAAGCAGCACTCAAGGGCTCTGTGATGAATTCCTTCCGGATTCCGCATGAGATGAGCGAAGCCCAAGTGGATGATTGAGCCCGGGTGCGACAGCCCTGCCTGAAAAGGTGTAGCCCCCACAGAAAAATCCATGTCATGTAGGTTTCACTACTTTGGGCAGCTCACAGCCGCTTGGAACTAACGAGCCGACGTTGCCATGCGCAGCGGCAAACAAAAATCCCCGAAATGTGATCTCCAATCGAGGATAGAAAATGATTTCAAGACATGCCGCCGAGATGTTTTTGGGTAACTGCCCTGGGCCTTCTGAAAACGAAGCGAGCCCGAACCTCAACATGTAGCATGCGTGCACTTGCACAGGTTAGCCAGGCATAAACCTATGACCTGCGACTGACCTTTACCCTGAAGCCAAGAATGTGAAGTGTTGCCAACCTTTTCCCGAAAGCCTTTCGAAGGGTGTTTCCGTGGAGGTGGTCTGGATGACATATGAGGTGATGGTACTGATGTGATGAGGATGAGGATGAGGATCAGGAGGAGGACCAGGAGCAGCAGGAGGAGGAGGAGGACGACGACGAAACTGACGAGCATGATGATGAGGAGAATGATGATGATGACGGTGGTGATGAAGATGATGATGATGATGATGATGACGATGATGGGGATGATGATGACCATGACGATGACGATGATGATGACGATGACGATGACGATGACGATGACGATGACGATGACGATAACGATAACGATGATGACGACGATGATGATGACGATGATGAGGAGGAGGATGAGGATGGTGATGGTGATGGTGATGAGGATGAGGATGATGAGGAGTAGGAGAAGAAGAGGAGGAGGAGGAGCAGGAGGCGGAAGACGAATATGACGAGGAAGATGATGAGGATGAGGATGATGATGATGAGGATAATGAATAAGGCTACATGGCGTAGGGTTTCATGACGTTGGTTTGCCCTTCGATTTTCGTCAGGTTGTCTGGTTCTCTCTCGATGCGTCTTATGTGGTAATCTAAAGACCAATATCTTTTGACTCACGGGGCCGGGATTGCCAGAGTCGCCGAGAATCGTTAAGTGGCCGCTGCGCGTGTTGCGGCGTGACGATGTGTCCTTGGATTAGGAAACCCTCTCCTGAGGCCTGTGCGATCATGCGAGATGGAGCTGCGCATGTGGTGACGTGGCGATTCGTGTACCGAAATTGGCCTCGAAATGACAACCCTCTTGATTTTCCGCATCGTGCGATAAGCACCATCCATTGTAAATTCCTATACAATGGACTCTCGACATGACAACCCTTGCGGATCCTTTCGGTGGACCTGGCGTGGGGGCGTGGTGCCACGTTGATGTTGGCCGCTACGATTCGTGCTCGGAGTGGAACACCACCCTCTCTCGGTGGACGTGGAGGGTCGGCGTCCTCCGGCAAGCGCGAGCCAGAGTCAAGATCAATGTGGGCCTCGTGTTGGCTTCGACATGACACCCCTCTCGTTGCGGGCGCTGCGCATGCGGTGCTGCGCTGATGTATGCTGATGTTGCCCTCCAAGATTTGAATCCCGCCAGTACTTAGGGGAAAGATTTTTGGACATGCCTCTGAATCCTGAATTCTGAGTACATGGCCTGGGGAAATGCATTTTGATTGAGGACTTGTAGAAGGGTTTATCAAGTCTTTAGGGTCGGGTTTGTAGAAGGGTTGCCAGGAAGGTTTGTAGAAGGGTAGAAGTGTTTGTAGAAGGTTCACAGAAGAGTTTATGAAAGGGATCTATAGAAGAGTTTGTAGAAGGCCTTATGGACGGTTTATAGAACGGTCTAGGGAAGTGATGGATGAATGAAGGAATGAATGGATGCATGGGTGCATGGGTGGATGGGTGGGCGAATGGATGAATGGGTGGCTGCATGGGTGGATCGATGCAGGCATGGAATTGATGATGCTTTCGGACACTCGTTCTCTAGTCATGAATCACGATGTGATCGTACGTTTTGCAGCTGCCGGCCACGCTCCCTGCGCAGGTGCCTCTTCCTCGCCTCATCCTCCCTTCGCCGCTCCTCCTGCTATCTTCCGGAGGGAACACTGTCGTCTGACTGACTGGGGCCTAAACGAAGCAGACTTCATACTTGAGTCACCGGGGTTCTGGCCGCAGAAAGGACTTGCGGCCGCTCAACACAGCGCTGACGTGTCCTCTTCTCGCCTGCGCTCCTCCTTCAGCTGTTCCGCACGTCGTTGAATCTCGGCCTGCCTGAGGAGCGGTTGTGAGCATTGCTGGGGACCTGCATCCTGTCCTGTCCGCACCACAGCCGCAGTGAAGACCCTTCTCTCTCAGGCGCGCACTCTTCCTCGTCTCGGCGACGCCTTCTCTCTGCTTCCATCTGCCGATCAGGCTTTGCAATCACCGAACTGTGCGTTAGTTAGAGAGATCCAGGCAGGCAGATCAGATCCGGCAGCACCAGTTCCACAAACCTGGTTTGTAGCTGGAAGTTCACCCATGCTCCGTGAATCGGCCTGTACTCTTACTACTTACTACGGCGTACAACCAGCACTGTTTTGTTCTGTTGCTGTTCTGCGGCGGCTGGTCATACTTCGGTGCCTTCTCCGCCTCCTCTCTTTGGCGACGGAGCTTCGCCATGGCTTCGGCTTGCTCCTCGACGGCACCGAGCGCTCGCTTGCAACTGCTCGACACTGCAATCCACGAGGGGCACCAATGGGCACTAAGGATCCTGCATTGTATTCCTACCATCCAAGTACAAACCATGGCCTCCTCGCTTCGTCGAGCGGCCTCCTGATATTCACGCTCCTGGAAAGCCGACGCCAGTGCAGAGGTAGAGAAGTGTTTTGTTTTGCTGTTGCTGTTTTTTTGCTGTTGCTGCGGGGGGGATGTTCTTTTTTGCTGTTGCTGCGCGGGGGTGTGTTTGGTTTGCTGTTGCTGCGGGGGGGGGTGTTTTCTTTGCTGTTGCTGCGGGGGGGTGTTTTTGTTTGCTGTTGCTGCGGGTGTTTTTCTTGCTGTGGCTGCCAGGGGTGTGTGTTTTTGCTGTTACTGCGGGGGTGGTGTTTGTTTTTCTGCTGTTGTGTTTGATTGTTGCTGCCGGAGGGGATATTTTTTGCTGTTGCTGCCGGATTGTTTTTGGCTGTTGCTGCCGGGGGGTGTTTTTTTGGCTGTTGCTGCGGGTTTTTTTTTGCTGTTGCTGCCGGGTGGTGTTTTTTTGGCTGTTGCCGCGGGCTTTTTTTGCTGTTGCTGCCGGGAAAGTGTTTGTTTTTTTGCTGTTTGGGCCCCCATCGGCAGTTCACTCACTTGCTGGTTCGCCGGGGCTTGCACAACAAAAAAAAAGCAGCAACAGCAAAAAACAAAACACCCGCTCCGCCACTGCAGCTACCGCATGTCCAACCCG